CTCTTTTTTTTTTATTATAAACTAGTACAACACCCGTGTATTACACGAGTACTTGTTAAAAAATTATTCATAAATTTTAAAATTAATGAGAAAAATTATTTTAAATTTTATTTACTTTTTTACAAAAACTACATATCCCCCTATATATTAATTCAGAGCATGCCGAGTGTAGTAAATTAAATTTTCCCAATTAAATTATAGATAATCCGGACCTACTTATATTTGGATTGGAAGTAAATTAAAATCTACCTAAGCAAATCATGTAATTTTGTTACATATGATTCCGAAGCATGCGAATCTACCACTTAAGCTTAGTACGTTATGAATTAATATATAAGGGAGATTTAAGCCTTTTTTTTTTTTTAACTAGGACGATATAGTAAATTGTTTTTGTATTAGTAATTAACCAGTGCATAGCTCGTGCGATGCACCATACACATATATTAAATGAGTCATTTGTATAGGGTTTGTACGATTAGCCACCAAAAACAATAGAGTTGGATCATCAATTTTTTCACTTCTTTTAATCAATGATGTTTATTTTAGCCATAACATTAACATGTTAATTAATATATTATTCTGCTAACACGTTATACTAATATAAATCAGAATTTTGAATATATATGTGTTTATCGATATAAGAAAAAAATAAAAATTATACTTATTCTTGTTCACCATATAATACTCAATTATTATTTTATTGAATATTGGTTGTCATATAATGAAACTATTAATATTTATAAAACTTGTAGAAGTAGACTTCCTCTTATTAGTTATGTAATAAAATTTTATGTATAAATGTGTATAAAATACACACACATGTTTTATAGAATTTAATTTTCTCATAATAATTTAAAAACAAATTGAGCTACCAATTGTCAAATAATAAACCCTTACATAATCAAGAGATTTTTTTAATTTGCATTCTAAGACTTTATAATTTATTTAATATACTAAGCATTATAAATATTACACTAAATTCATTATGGGAACATAAAAATAAAAAAAATTGATAAAAAATTATTATGGTTGACAATTATATACAAATAAATCATATGTTAAAATTATAAAAAAATACTTAATATATTTTAATTTTATTATCTAGCCGTTAGTAAAATTATTTAACGATGTGATCATTCTCTTAAATGGTAAATTATTTTAATTTTAAAATTTATTTGTTTTTACATGTTACAATTATTTACAATTGACCAAATTGATTTCGCCTAATAAGTTAGAATGAGAAAATTATTTATCATGTTACGATTGTTTATAAATAATTTAGGATGAAGTCAACATTTTTAGAAAAAACAAAATTACTAATATGATTAAGACTTAAAATATGTTTTCATGTTTATGTTGACAAGGATATTATCAACATGAATCACTAAAAATCAAAATATAGTTTATTATAATGGATATCAAAAAAATTATTTCAAATGTTAATAAAATGAATCATAATAAAATTATTCAAGGAAATAATCTTTTTGATCATATCTGATTTGAAAAATGTGTATATAAAAGAAATTAATGCATATATTTAAAAATTTCTAAATATGGTACGCATTAAATGTTTCCATAATTTTTTGCTACTATTTTTTTGAACCGAATAAATCACCCAAAATTGAACATATTTCCGAATGCGTAAACTATGGAATATTATTGATTCATATCAACCATAAAAAAGAGTTAAAGTGAACACCGAACATATTTTTCAATTTTTGAACTGGTTTTCCATAAGTGACTAGTGCGTAGGCCGTGCGATGCACGGGTAAACAATATTAACTACAATTTACCAATTAAAATTGTGGTTAAACAATATTAAATTATATATTAAAGATGTAGGGTAACATATATAACATATGTAAAACATATCTAAAATATTTTATGTTAAGCGTGATTTTCATTCAACAGAAAATAGTTTAAATAACGCAAAAAACCAACATTTCAGTATATTCACTAACACGACCCACATGCAAGATATCGGTGATCAGATTATCTAAGTCGGTCTAAATGATCAAAAGGTAATGAACAATCCTTTTCACCTACAAAAGACAATTTTTCCAAGTTTTTAAGGTTTTCATAAGATCCATCATGTGCACATTTCTTGTTTTCCCCCAACTTTGTTTTGTTCGATTATAAAGAATGATTAACAAATCAACCTTGTGAATCTTATGTTTTTGTTTCCAATGAATGATACTTATTTCCAGAAATCACGTAAAAATAATGGATCTTATGTTTTTTGTTTGAATTTTACTTGTTTTTTCAACTACCAAACAAATTCTTGGATTTGTATTGTGTTTTTTATTTGGGTTTCAAAATTTTTAGTTTTTTATTTTTATTCCAAATCACTGAATTTTCTTTCGAAAAAAAATGAATTTCAAAGATGATTTGTCGAGTTTTTGTTCATTTCCCAATGTTTATTTCACGATTTTTGATAGAACTGGGAAGAATCAATGCGTTTTAATCGATTTTCGTGAATTTTATAGAATAAAAATGGATATCTTGCTCGAATCTATGAAATTTTATTCGAATCTGTGATTAATGTTTGATTTTGTTCAAATTTTGGAAGTTTTTACCAGAACATTTGAAATCCGACATGAATTTTTGTTTATGATCAGATCTGACTTTTTTTTTTCACACAAAGGTCACAGTAACGGTGCGGCAAGATTATGTGTTACGAATATTGCTTGGTTTTTAAAAGTCAAATGCAAATATGAGATGTTTGTTACGTTTTTGTGTTTATTTTTATGTGTTTATTTGTGTTATTGAGTCGGTTTTAGGATCTTTTTAGTGTCGCCCGGTCCATTTTGTCGCATTTCGTGTGTTTTTATATTTTCTCTTTTATTTTGTATTTTGGCGTACTTGTCCGTGTTATTGTTGCATATTCAGATGTTTTCCGAGTATGATGAGGAATCGAACGGAACCCCGAGTAAGTTCAAGTCATTCGCGCGAACCATTTCAAACCGAGTGTTCAAGCCTTAGCCGCAGCCCAAGCCGTGCACGCGCGGACGCACGCCCAGCCACCCGCATGACCGCACACCCCCCTCGCACACGCCCGCGCGCCCCAGCGCCCAATACATGCACTCGCGACCACGCGAAGGGCGCCGCGCCCTCGCGAGCTTCACACTGCGCGTGCCCGCGTGCTCGCGGAATCCACCGCGGCATCGAGAGTTCCCTTGCCCAGCACAAACGTGCGCTCGCGTGCTCGTGGGCATTTCCGCGCGGTCGAGAGTGCGCCATTCCCAGCCGCCCTGCCAACGCCACCCGCGTGCTCGCCCCAGGATCTGCGACGTCGAGAGTGGTGCGTGCATCGCCCAGTACGCGCCCGCGCGCTCGCAGAAAGAGCCGCGCGCTCGAGAGCTCTGCACCAACCGCATATCACACGCCCGCGAGCACGCCCTAGCATCCGCGCCGTCGAGAGTGCGCCAACCACTGCCTGCGAGCTCGCAAATTTTACGGCTACGTCGAGAGTGTCCCATTTTAATGTGCGTGTTTTAGTGTGTGTTGGGGCTAGACTATAAATACATTTTGTCCTTTGCATTTTGTGGATCTAACTCTCATTTTTCACTTTTCCTCTTTGGGAAATTAGTTTATGTTTTATTTTTGCTCTCTAGATTAGGAGCTTATGCTATTTTCTGGGAGATTTTCCGGCGACCTCGGTTTCGTTCAAGTTTCGAGATTTTGACTCCGTTTTTCATCGTCTACGCAATGGGAGATTGAGTATTTAGTTTTAAAGCTCTTTACTTCGTTTTTGCTCCGGTTTTACTTATAATGTTTATTAGAGTAAA